TGCCATTAGAGTAGTGTTTTTTCAATGCCTTCTTAGCGGAAGTCTGATGTGTTTTTTTTTTTTTTTGAAAAAAAACACGGTAATGAGTCATGATTTGAATTATGGAACGAATCATCACCAAACGTCTTCTTTAGTTTACAAATGAGATTGTGGCCTCGTTCACTTCGTAGATTCGAGTTTTTAATTCGAGCTGAGATGTGACATTTTCTTAGAGCTTTTCACTGTAGCAGAAAAAGTTAGATGTGACATTTTCTGAGAGCTTTTTACTGTAGAAACCTAAAACTGAAAACTCGAATCGGTAAAATGAACGAGGCATGTATATACTCTTTTGGACTTCAACTCCGGATTTCAAACCTAAAAAAAATAAAAGATAAGACGCGTGGGAAGATAAGGCAGTGTTTGAAGTTTGTTTTGTTTTTGTTTTTCACGTTTTTTGAGAAATGAAATATGAAAATAGGAGAGAAATGACATTTGACACAATTAAAGACAAAAAACAAAAAATGAAAATGGTTTTTTGTTTTAGTGTAAAATGAGAGAAATGAAAAATGACTTTTAGTCGTTTTTCATTTTTTGTTCCGTTTTCTCCTCTCTCGAGTACAGAGCGAGAGAGAAATATTAATGGATTTTTTTATACTAAAAATAATCTCTTAATAAAACTATCAAACGTATTTTTAAAAATAATTTCTATCTGAAATTGAAAATATTTTCATTTCTATTTTCATACCAAAAATAAAATTATTTTAAAACGAGTTTCAAATATTCCCACTCAACTGACTCTTGGTCCACAGGTTTTCCTTTTTGAAAAGGTGGTGATTGAAGTAGAGATGCAACAATGGGCCGGGGCTCGTGGGCCGGCCTAGGCTCATCCTGACACAGTGACGGGCCGAGCCAGCACGGCCCGTCACTGTTCAAGGCACGGCCCATCCCATAAATATTGGTGGGCTGGGCTAGGCCAACATATATCGGCCCATGGGCCAGGCCGGGTTGGGCCAGCCCGTCTAGGCCCATGATGGGCCGGCCCAGCCCGGCCCATCTAGGCCCATAATGAGCCGGCCCAGCCCAGCCCATCTAGGCCCATAATAGTTTCATGTTTTTTTTTCTTTTTTTAGTAATTTTGTCAACATCTTATGTATAATTATCCTGATTGTACTCTTTTTTCTTTACCAAAACTTTGTCCCACTAGGTTTTCCTTAAAAAGATGTTTATTTAATGAGGTAATCGTAAATAAAATATCTATTTTCATATTTCCATTGACTATTCAAACTTATATATTTGTTAACTTGTTTAAAAACTAAAAAATAAAAATAAAAAAATTAGAAATTGCATATTTAGATGGGCTAGCCCATCTAACCCCATGATAGGCCAAGATGGGCCTTGAGTGGGCCAGCTCATGGCACGGCCCATCCTGACCCGCGTCATAGCCCAGCCTGGCCCGCAGCATGGCCTAGCCTGGCCCACGTAAAATTAGCACGTGGTGTGGGCTGGGCCGAGGTCATTCTTATACGGGCCAACCCAACCCGATCCATGAAATTCGTGGGCTGGGCCAGCCCGGCCCGCGGCCCGCGTGGGCCTAAGGAGAACGGGATGGGCCGGGCCGGCCTATTCTTACATCTCTAGATTGAAGGGACCGACACTTATTGCAAAACGACGCATCTATCTCTCAGTTTTTTTTTTTTTTGATAATTTTTTTAGGGAAAAATTGTCTTGTAGTATTGTGCTGTCGTTTAAGGAGAAAGTTTCCCGATCACTTTTTATTTCTATAGCAGTTTGCAGTGCTCGACGAGAAACATCTGGTTTGTTTTTGCTGAATGAACATCTGATTTGTTGCCACGCTGAAAAACGACATGTTGTGTGCCTTTTGAATTATTCTGTCGTTTTGATGAAACGGCAACGTTGTCCATGTCTGAAAGTTGCTATCCTATCATATACAAGAAAACGGCATTTAGTCATGATTAAAACTTGCAGTCGTTTAATATTTTCACAAGTTTCTTGGCCTTTGCTTTTGAAAACGACTTGTCGTTTACTTTTAGTCGTTTGCTGTCTTTATGTTGAACAAACATGTACATAAATATTAGAATTCAATTCATTGACCTACTACTAAAAGCCACAATAGATCCATTAAAAAAAAGTTAGAAAAAAAAAATACCACCAGATCAATTTTTATAGGTATAAATTATATTATATAATATATATATATATATATATATATTTGAAACAGAAGCGTACATCTTGCCTGCTCTGGCCACAACAAACAAGTTTTAAGAGCAACAGGATTACAATAAATTTATGAGTTAGATAAATGGCAATTGCCCTCGGTTGTTAACTTGTGCTGCACGTACAACATGTATAATAGTATGAACTAATATAATGGAGCAAATGAGTTGGAGCTAATATAAGTGGTGGTTGGGGAACATTGCGTGAATATCGGTGATTTATTGTTCAGATTCAAATCTGAACCACAAATGTCATTATGCGTTGTCATTTGAATAATAAAATGCTTAAACTCTCCCTCATCTGATGATATATATAAACATAGAGTTTGAGACAAAAGAACAACAAGGCAAAACTAATCAATTGCAAATTCAATTTGAAAGGCCAACGTTTCTCTCTTTCTTGAGAAAGAAAAGAATGGCTGCGTCAAATTCCCACTTCCATGTTCGCTCAAACAGCTTACCCTCCCAATCAAACCCACTTCTTCTACAATGCAACGAAAATTTGAGCAGATTGGAGGCTCGTGGTGCAACTTCATCATCTTCTTTTATTACCCAAAGACTAAGCGGTCTTGAGGATTTGCACGAATGTGTTGAAAAGTTGCTTCTATTACCCTCCACTCAACAAGCCTTTGTCCAAGGCCGCCAAGAGCAATGGATTGACCAACTGGTGGATGGCTCTCTTAGGCTTTTGGATTTGTGCAGCTCGGCTAAGGATGCCGTGTTGCACACAAAGGAATGTGCACGCGACATTCAATCAATCATGCGCAGAAGACGAGGGGCTGAAGTTGGACTTGAAAGTGAGATCAGCAAGTACTTGGCCTCTAGGAAAGTGGTGAAGAGGGCAATCAATAAGGCCTTGGGGAGTTTAAAGAGTGTCGAAACTAAAAGCTCATTCTCTGATCTCTCCAACAAAGATGGTGAAACCATAGCCTTGATTAGCGTCTTAAAAGAGGTGGAAGTTGTCGCTCTTGCGGTGTTTGAGTCTTTGTTGTCCTTTATTTCCGGGCCAAAGGCACAAACTAAGCTTGGTGGTTGGTCTCTAGTTTCCAAGATTATGCACAGCAAAAGAGTTGGCTGTGAAGAAGAACAACAAGTAAATGAATTCGCAAAGGTGGATGCAGCAATGCACCGCCTCATGAGTCACAAGATGCAAATCGAGAAGGTTCAAAGTGAGCTGCAAATTCTAGAGATGTGCGTTCAAGACTTTGAAGAAAGACTAGAGTGCCTCTTCAGGCGTCTAATCAAAACCAGAGTTTCCCTTCTCAACATCCTCAACAACTAGATTATAACTTCTGTTTGTAATGCTCCACTATGGGGGCGCATACCTAAAATTTTGATAGCCTAGATAAAATGTTTACACATATACATGTAAATGATGGAATATATACAAAGCACATTTTTCTTCCATAGTAAATTTACATACTTTTTTCCTTTGTCTCAATTTCCAGTATATTCTATCTTTACATCCATAATTTCCATAGCCTAAATGGTAGTTTACGGCGCATTTGCTTTAAGATTATTCTACTGTTCCCCAATTATTTCACAAATTACGGCAGTCACAGAAATTTATCTACAGATCTGATCCAATAAACCAGATTCTTAAAAAATTAAAGTACTTAGGTGACCAATAAATTAATAAATGGCAATGTGCCATGCAACTTGAACCTGCATATACTGGCACAGTTTTCTCTGTTTAAGATGCCACATGTTTTTTGCAAATTAAATCAAATGCCAAGGCTGTACAGATTCCAATTGTCTCAAACTAGATTAGCAAAACCATTATGCAATAATTATGGTTCATCTTAATAAACTTGATTCTCACATGCTTTATGCAATTAATGCTACGCTGGCTGTCTTAGTGTTAGGAGACCAACGGAATCATCTGCATGCTTGTTACCAATTTCAAGCTATATTTTTTCTTCTTTATACAAACTTATTCCTCGATTCGAATTTAGAATTTGAGTTTTGCTACAATAAAAAACTCTCAGAAACAGTCACATCTAACTTTTTTGTTACAGTAAAAAGCTCTCACATAAAGTCACGTCTCAACTCGAATCAACGAATTAAACGGGCCCTTAAACTGTTTCCAGAGTTATATGATTTTTCCGGCTTCTACTACGCCACCATGTTAATGGACCAACATGGCCAACATCTACTTTTCTGGATGTATCATGTGGAGCTAGCTAATGTACAGTGTCTCTGTAAGAAAGATAAATCCAATACTCTCTTTTAACTGAATTTAATTACTCGAAGTAAAATTTTCAGTTTATGGAACATATATAATTTTGTTCCTCCATATTCTTGTGTACAATTCTTTTTATTAAGAAAAAAAGTGCTCATTTGGTGCATCTCTCTCTAGCTTGTCTCATGCGGAGGTATGCTGATCCGGAGAGGATGGTGATTGCCTATTTCTTGTTGCCAACATGGTGGTATCAATGCCATTCGTGCGTTGAAAATTATTGCTTTATTATAATGCATTTGAGAGATACATGTCTGATATATCAACTTATAAAAATGTCGATGACCGGATGCAAACATGGTGGTGGGGAGACATAGCAAAAACATCTTCACCATCTCATCTTTAGATCCAATTCACAATCATGTTAGCCTCCTTGTGTATTGACGAGGATGAGATTCCTTTTGTCTCGATACGATTGCCTCCTCCAAATATAAATAGAGATCGTAGATGCCAAATGGAAGCAAGCAAGTTCTAGACTGAATTCAACATTCATCCGCTATATAGCAAGCTCTTCTCCTTCCTTTATCAGGAAACAAAAGAAAAAAAAAATGGCAGCTTATCACACTCGATCAATTAGCTTTCCCTCTAGCCAGCACCCTCTCATTCCCGAATTTGACGAGCAGTTGTGCAGATTGAGGTCCTCAGAAGCGGCCTCTTCTTCATCAACTTCTCTAAGCAGCAAAGTCAGCGGACTTCAAGATCTGCATGATTGTGTCGACAAGTTGCTTTTGTTACCACTTAACCAACAAGCCTTGTCCAAACAGCCGAATGAGGAATGGGTTGACGAGCTTTTGGATGGGTCTCTTCGACTCTTGGATATGTGCAACACAGCCAAGGATGCCTTGCAGCAAACAAAGGAATCCACACAAGAACTTCAATCAATTATTCGCAGAAGACGTGGTGGTGAATCGAGTCTATCGTGTGAGGTCAAGAAATTCTTGAACATCAGGAAAGCAGTGAAGAAGGCACTGCACGAGGCCATGGAAAACAAATGCACCTTCAGTCTTCTTAACCAGGATCAAGAAATTGTTAGCATGTTGAGAGAGGTTCAATCAATTACTCTCGCGGTTTTTGAATCAATGTTCTCCTTCATCTCGGGGCCAAAGTCAAACAGCTGGTCATTGGTTTCCAAGTTGATGAACTCCAAAAAGGCGTCTTGTGAGAATGTCAACAAATCAAACGAATTTGTAAACGTGGATGCTGCATTGAACAGCTTGCTGATCAGCAACAAGTCGAAGAAATCGGATAGCATGCTTGAAGAGAACGCTCAAAACGAGCTTCAGAAATTGGAAATGTGCATTCAAGATCTTGAAGAAGGAGTTGAGAGCCTTTACAGGCGTTTGCTTAAAACCAGAGTTTCTCTGCTCAACATCCTCAGCCACTAGTTGATTAGAAACTTTTTAATTTACTATAGGAAAAGTCTGAGAACCAATCTTTCAAACTTGTACATCAACAATGTATACAATGTTTATATTTTCACATGCGAAATTAAGTACTGCTTCACATACATTCTTTAATTGATTCTTACTTCTTCCCAACTATTAAATTCAGTGCTAAACACAATTTCTCCATTTTTATAGCTTTTATTGATTCTGAAAAAATAATAATAATAATAATTCCCATCAAAAAAATAATAATTTATCCCTCAGAAAAAAAAAATTATCAACATTTCCATTACCTTGTCCGGCAGATTGGTTAATAGTTTAAATTAGCCTTGGAGCGCAGGGCAGTTCTGCTCATGAATTAAATCAGAGAAGTGAATCGTTTTAAAAAGATGAAACTAATCTCTCTTTCAGATAATAATAAAACTTGTTGAATTAAACGAAACAAATAACTTGAAGCAATTCGATAATGTATGTCGAACGTACGCTCAACAATATTACAAAAAACAAAAACAAAAAGAAGGAAAGGAAAAATAACATGTTATAAAATGAACGAGTTGACCCCACCCTCAGACGGTAGACTAAGATCCCACATCTTATCAGATCAAAAAAGATCCCAACTAATGGCTCTTATTCATCAATTTGAGTACACAAGTACTCTTTTTTTTTTTTTTTTTAAATCATCTAATTTTAAAAATGTGGATCCATCTATATTTCCCTCAACATCGTCACTTTCGTCCATGGATGAAAAGACCAATCATTCAAAATCCTTAAAAACGACATCAAGTAGTTCTTTTGCTGGGAAACCGATATAAATGAGTTGAAATTTATAGAATGAATGTACACAGAGGAAGCGTCAAGCTAGACAAATAAATACCAAAAGATAATCTTAAAACGACAAATATGTTTCTAAAAACGACAAAGTTGTTTTAGAAAACCACATTTGCTGAAAAACGACAATAGAGTAAAATGACAATTAATAGAATAAAATCAAGTCGACCACAATGGAATTAAAAAAATGAAGCTGACCTTTTTTTCTGAGAAAAAAGAAAAGAAGAAGAAGCTAACTAAAAACCGACCATCTAGAGAGAGAGAGCATAAAAAAATAAAATAAATAACGACAACACTCAGAAAATGATATCAAATGAAAACAACAATGTTTTCACAAACCGCAGTGAAACAAGAACATTCAGAAAACGATAATTATGCCCAAAAAAACATTAATTAATTACACGCATGTGAAAGACTCAAATCTCATACGCTTCAAACAATTAAAAACGCGGCTCTCGTTCTATTTCTGCTTACTAACGAGCATCATCAAGTATCAACTATTTTTCTACAATTCATAAATGGCTTATACAGAACTTGCTTGTTCCTTTGACAGCAATCATGCATAGACTTGCATAGTTAAAATAGTACTCATAATCCCATATTTATTTACAAATTCTGCTCACTCTGGCCTGTGGTCTAAAAATGTAATTCGAACTATGACTCATTCTGTCAACATCAAAGGAAAAAAGTATTAACCGCCTCTTTAGTAATTTAAACTGTAATGTAACCGAAATAGTTAAATCTTGAGTTGGACCTTTCAGCTCTAAATTTTGAAAGTGTGGGAAAGACATAATATAATAAGTATATTGCATATATTCAAATATTTATTTGTTGCGGGATTGAATAGTTTGGAAAGAAGCAAGAAAATTGAAGAATGTATGGGAAAAATTACTTCATTATCGTATGTGAAAAGTATATATATGTGCATTCATAACAATCTCATTGATGTACAAGTGTGAAAAGCTGATTTCAAGACTTTTCCTATTTCTTTATTACTGTTTATAACCACCTAGTGGTTAAGGTTGTTGAGCAGAGAAACTCTGATTTTAATCAAACGCCTATAAAGGCTCTCAACTCCTTCTTCAAGATCTTGAATGCACATCTCCAATTCTTGAAGCTGTTTTTGTGCATTCTCTTCAACCGTGCTGTCTGAATTCTTCATCTTGTGGCTGATCAACAAGTTCAACGCAGCATCGGCGCTTGCAAATTCGTTTGATTCGTTGACCTTCTCACAAGACACTGTTTTGGAGTTCATCAACTTGGAAACCAATGACCAGCTGCTTGACTTTGGCCCCGAGATGAAGAAAAACATTGATTCAAAAACCGAGAGAGTAATTGATTGAACCTCTCTTAACATGCTAACAACTTCTTGATCCCTGTTAAGAAGACTGAAGGCGCATTTGCTTTCCATGGCCTTGTGGAGTGCCTTCTTCACTGCTTTCCTGGAGTTCAAGAATTTCTTGAGCTCACTTGATAGGCTCGATTCACCGCCGCGTCTTCTGCGAATAATTGATTGAAGTTCTTGTGTGGATTCTTTAGTTTGCTGCAAGGCATCCTTGGCTGTGTTGCACATATCCAAGAGTCTAAGAGATCCATCCAAAAGCTCATCGACCCATTTCTCATTTTTCTGATTGGACAGGGCTTGTTGGTTAAGTGGTAATAGAAGCAACTTGTCAACACAATCATGCAGATCTTGAAGTCCGCTAAGTTTTCCGCTTAGCGAAGCTGATGAAGATGAGGCCGCTTCAGAGGACCTCAATCTGCACAACTGCTCGTCAAATTCGGGAATGAGAGGGTGTTGCCTAGAGGGAAAGCTGTTCGAGCGAGCGTGATAAGCTGCCATTTTCGTTTCTTGACAAAGGAAGGAGAAGAGCTTTTGTAGCTGTTAAATGTTCAACGAAGTCTAGAATTTGCCTGCTATCCTTTGGCATCAACCATCTTATTTATGATCGGAGGGTGAAGGAGACAAAAGGAATCTCATCCTCTTCAATACACCGTGTGGCTAACATGATGATGATTTCGATCCAAAAATACAAATGGTGAAGATGTTTTGCCATGTCTCCCTACCACCAGATCCGGATCTCAATACCAACAATTAATACATAATATAATTAGAAATTTATCTCTCAGTTGGAAAAGATGCCTTATTATATATTCCTTGATAAGAAATAAAATTTGTAATGCACGAGTGGCGATGACACATAACAAGAAAAAGGCAATTTCCATTCTATTCGGATCAGCACTCCTCCACATGAGACAAAATGAGATACACCACTAGGTCTCACTGATACAAAAAGGATTATCTATTTCAATTAAATCGTGGAATTAATAAAATAATTGTCACAAAAAACAATATTTTAAGTTTTTCTTAATATAAAAAAGAATCATCTATATATATCGTTGGTGCTTGTAGCCCAATTCACCATCCTAGAAGCTATTCTTGCGCTAATAATTGGATCATCAAGTTAGCGTGCTAATAATGCCTCCTCACAGTATTGCATAAAAATGAGCTTAATAGTCTAATCTTTTGAATATTAAATTGATGTTTGAAATTGAAATTATTTTCGTCCTTCAATTTCTTGTGATCATGTTATTTTATGTTGCTTTCTCAGCATTTTCGTTTAGCGTTCATGCAGTTTATTCCTTTTTTAAGTTTTATCTCGTTTAATGTTAATGTTATTTTCGTCACGATTTTTTTTTTCCTTATTCAGATCCATTTTAAAGGCCAATGTCGTTTTGTTAAGTCACCGTCGTTTTTCAAGCTGTCATTTTATGTATAAATCTGCATCCTCTTTTGAGTTTCTTGTCGTTTTATTTTTTTGTCGTCGTTTCCCTTATTTTCTGTCACTTTTGACGTTATGTTTTTAATCTGTCGTTGCCCCGTTTATATTGTCTTTCGGTTGCTTTTATTTTTTCCATCTTTTTCTCGTTTCTTTACCTAGGCAGGCTCTCCTTTTTCAATTCATGTAGTTTATGAAGATAATTGTCTTTCGTATGATATCCTTTTTTAAGGTAATTGTCATTTAATTAGGTTGTTTTTCCTGTCGTTGCTTCCAAGTTGATATAGTTGCCATTAAAGGTTGCTGTCGTTTTCACGTGATATCGTTTTATAGCTCTTATCTCTATTCTAGCCTATAATTTCTTTTTTCTTTTTTCCTTTCACAATATAGTCGTATTATTTGCGTGCGAGGTTCCTGTCTTTTCTACTGCAATTTTCGTTCTCCAATCACTAACAGATGACACTTTAGACGGAATATTAATAACTATATTTTAGCGCACTTGTGTCCCTTGAATTTCTCGTAATTTAATACTTTATTTCCCGCAATAATTTTTTTTTTCCTTTGATAATTTAGTCCCCGAATTAGTCATAAAATCCTCTAACATATATCTCAGATTAATAATTTGAGTTAATTGCCAGTTTCTTAAAAATTCAGGACAGAGTTGCAAAAAAATAAAAATAAAAACAAAGAAAGAAGAAGAAGAAGAAGAAGAAGAAGAAGAAGAAGAAAGCCAATTGCTTCAAGCCCATATGAAATTTATGTTGAGCGTGATTAACTTTATTTGATCTGAACAAGAAGATTTGCTAGATTGTTGAAATGAGGATAACTTTCTGAGATGATTCATGGTTATCTTCATTCTCATAATAACTTGTATTTATCTTTTAATGTAAACTTTGCTCCCAAAAACAAAAAGGACCTTTTCCTCTATTTGTTGCAAGTCATTTCTCCTGTGTTAATCTTCTTGAATGAACAACCATAAATCAGTTAGAAAACTACAAAATGTCCATAGTATTATCTTTAGTTTTACAATCCATGTGAACTAAGCCCACATGTAACATATGTTAAGTCCGATTAACTTCATTTAATTAAACAAAGATTAGCTAGCTTATTGAAATGAGATTTCAAATTTTCTGCGATAATTAATAGCTTCCGTATGATTCGAGACTTCTTTGAATGCAAAGTTTACTTTTAAAAAAAAAAAAAAAAAAAAGGACCTTTCAATTCAAACTATTAATCAGTACGTGAAAGAGGAAAATACTGGCAGTCTCTTTGTTTTTACACAGAAAACGTTGAAATAATTTCTCCTTCAGATCCTTAATTTAGAATAATTCGCACATCCTGCAAAAATTAGTAAAAATTTGAAACTATAATGTTACCAATATGGATGAAGCTTCTATTAGATTGATGTCTGAATCTCGTATATATGAAAACATTTGCATTGTATATATCTCATTGATGTACAAATATGAAAAGCTAGTTACAAAACTTTTCCTATTGCTAAATCACTATTTTGTCACCACCTAGTGGTTGAGGATGTTGAGCAGAGAAACTCTGGTTTTGATCAAACGCCTGTAAAGGCTCTCAACTCCTTCTTCTAGATCTTGAATGCACATCTCCAATTTCTGAAGTTCGTTTTGCGCATTCTCATCAAGCACGCTATCTGATTTCTTCATCTTGTGGCTCATAAGCAAGCTGTTCAATGATGCATCTGCACTTGCGAATTCGTTTGATTTGTTGACGTCCTCACAAGAAACTTTTGTAGAGTTCATCAACTTGGAAACCAATGACCAGCTGCTTGACTTTGGTCCGGAGATGAAGGCAAACATTAATTGAAAAACTGTGAGAGTAATTGAATGAACCTCATACAACATGCTAACAATTTCTTCATCCTTGTTAAGGAGACTGAAGGTGCGTCTGTTTTCCGCAGCCTTGTGGAGTGCTTTTTTCACCGCTTTCCTGGATTTCAAGAATTTCTTAAACTCACTTGATAGACTCGATTCACCTCCGCGTCTTCTGCGTATAATTGACTGAAGTTCTTGCGTTGATTCTTTCATTTGCAAAAGGGCATCCTTGGCTGTGTTGCATAAATCCAAGAGCTTAAGAGATGCATCTAAAAGCTCATTTATGCATTTCTCATGTTGATCCCGGGATAAGGCTTGTTGATTGTGTGGTCGTAAAAGCAACTTATCAACACAATCATGCAGATCTTGAAGTCCGCATAGTTTGCCGGCGACCGATGATGATGAGGCCTCTTCTGAAGACCTCAATCTGCACAACTGCTCTTCGAATTCGGGAATGAGAGGGTGCTGCCTAGAAGGCAAGCTATTGGAGCGAGTGTGGTAAGATGCCATTTTTACCTGGAAAATAGAGCTATTGCTAGCCTTTGAATGTTCAATGAATTTACAAATTAAAACCTCGAATTTGCCTGCTTTCCTTTGGCATCTACCATATGTATTTATATAAATGTAAGTTAATTAAGGGAGAAAAGAGGAATCTCATCTTCCTCAATACACGGTGAGGCTAACATGACTGTGATTTTGATCTAATTATACAAATACAATAATGAAGATGTTTATGCTATGTCTCCCTACCACCAAGTCCGGATCTTATTATCAATTATATTAAAGCCAGTATATCAGCATAAATCTCTCCCTTGGGGACAAAACTCACTACACATCTCACACCAAAGCAATAAAAATTCGCGCGATGCAGCGTGGCAAACCGCGCCTCGTTCGAAACACTCAACTCAAGAGGCAATAACCAGCCTATACAGATCAGCATTTGCGTCCGAAATGAGACAGGAGAGGGATATGCCACTCGTGCACATGCACATACGCAGAAAAATATTATGTATTCTCTTTTTCATATATTTTTGGAAAGAACTTCAATGAAAAGTGTGGATTAATAGAAATAATACGCGGCCTAATAACTATGACTGTGCCCCAGAAGGCGGCAAACTTTCCAAATACCAAAGGCGCCCGTGTGATATTTGAGCCAAAATATATAGTTTTGCCAACTTGGTTCTCGTTATTTGGTGGCTTTGTTTGAGACAATTGGAATCTCGACAGACCTGAAATCCATTGGTTTTCAGCTTTCAAGTATTCCGCGGGTGGACTAATAATCACAGAACTTTCCTACCATTTTGAACAATGCTGATAGCTCCAACGTGTGACACCAAACGACTTAACCGGTGTTTGGTAAACTTGTTTTCCGTTAGATTCTAGAGTAATCTGCACATTGAGAACAGAAGAGTTATTTTGTAGTGATAATTACATTAGTATATACATATCCTATTTCAACTTTCTCTCAATTCATCCCTCTATTTTTCAAAACTACAAAGGCAAAGATTTCAGACATATTCTCCAATTTTATATCGGCCAAATTTTTGACCAAAAAAAAAAAAAAAAAAAAAGAAAAAAATACTCTTAAATGTTACATATGTTCTATATATACACAACCCAATGTTACATGGCTTTCATAAAAAAACATGATGTTATATGACATGACCAAACTTTAATCAATTAGTTTGAAAGTAATCATCAGAAATCACATCTCTGACAACTAGTCCTTAATTTGGAGGTTAAGGGTATAGGTCCTTTTTGCCTTATTCACATGTCCCATTTTCTAGCAAGAGCTGGATCCATTTGTTTAAATCTCACAATATTCCTATGCAACTAGCCCAATAAGCATTAATCACTATTAATAAGACCAACAATTAGTTATTGCCACATGGTTGCATAAGAAGACCATGATTAGTTCTCTTCCACATCAAGAATACATCATTCAACTATATTATATAAAACCAATAATTGACTGCTTAGTCAATTGATTCGTGCGGATTACATATAACTAGACTTCATAATCCTTCAAAGTAGTTGCAATAATATAGGAAAAGAGAAAGTACACACATGGGATTAGTAAGAAATAAACATGCTAAATGATGCTCCATATGATCTTTCAAGTTGCACATCTATAATAGTAAAACAACTAATGAGCACGTTAAATGATATTGCAGAATCTTATCAAGTTACATAATGTAAAATAGAAAAACACCTATATGAGATTAGCTTGTAGATAAGCACGCCAAATGATATTATTGGCCTCCCAACAGAAAGACAACCAGCGTGGCTTTTATTGCATGAAGCATGTGAGACTCAAGTTTAGTGTTGAATGACATTAAATGCGAATTATATCGGAATCCATATATACAGCCTTGATATACTTGATTTAATTACCAGAAAATTCATGTAAATATGGATGGAATTACATCATAAACACAAGAAAACTTGGTGAAGTTTATGAGTTTTGAGATTTTGATCATGTGAATAGGATTATATATATTAATAGATTGAATATTACCCCCCAAAAAAATAAATCATGCATATCATATTGCGAATGAGAAACGGAAAGACAAATGGCACTGGTAGAATATTAATTGGTTTTACTTTTAAGTTAATGCGTAATTAACCAATAAAGGCTCTAAATAAAAGATCTTAGAGATCTAGTGGAAATAACAGAGACAATTAGGAAAAAGAGCATGAAATATTTTTTTAATTTTTAGAAGAGAAGTACAATATTATATGCAATCATGTACAACTATACATGAAAATTCATGAGATCCAAGACATCAAAATTTTGGATTCCCATGCTTGAATATTACATGATATATTTTTTTTTATTTTTTCATCTAGTTGTTGAGGATGTTGAGAAGGGAAACTCTATTTTTGATCAAACGCCTGAACAGCCTCTCCAGCCTTTCTTCGAAGTCTTGAACGCACAACTCAAGACTTTGAAGCTCGGTTTGCGCGTTTTCGATGTGCAAAGAGTTCTCAACTTTGCTTGTGTCGTGACACATGAGGCGTTGCAATGCCTCCTCCACCTTCGCGAATTCGTTCACATCGGTTTCTTGCGCTTCCTGATCGCAACCAACTTTCTTCTTATTGTTCATGAGCTTGGAAACCAAGGACCAGCCACTTAGCTTAGTCTGCGCCTTTGGCCCTGAAATAAAGCACAACAAGGACTCAAACACCGCAAGAGAGACCGACTCTACTTCTCTTAGAACACCAACCAACGCCGCGGTCTCAACAGTCATGTCTTTGTTGGTGGGAGAAGACGATGAAGATTTCACCGCAGCCTTCATATTCTCAAGAGCCTTGCGGATTGCCTTCTTCACCACCTTTCTTGAGGCCAAGTACTTGGTGACCTCGCCCGCCAGCCCAACCTCAGCTCCGCGTCGCCTGCGCATGATCGACTGAACTTCACGAGCACATTCCTTGGTGTGCAGCACGGCATCTTTGGCTGCGCTGCACATGTCCAAGAGCCTAAGAGAGCCATCCACCTGCTCATCAACCCATTTCTCGTGACGGCTGTGGACAAAGGCTTGCTGAGTGAGGGGCAACTGAAACAACTTCTCAACGCAGTCATGCAGATCTTCGAGACCGCTCAGTTTGTGGCTCAGTGAAGACGATGAAGTCGCCTCGGAAGCCCCCAATCTGCACAAATGCTCGTCGCATCGTTGGAAAAGGGGGTGTGGCCTAGTGGGAAAGCTGTTGGAACGAACATGGTATTGTGATTTGGAAGGAGCCATTTTTTTTTTCTTTTCTTTTCTTTCGAAATTAAGTTATAGAGAAAGCTAAAAGTTGAAATGGGAATTGATTGGTTTCTCAATTTTGGCTTGCTTTCCTTTGTCATCCACACAATATATATATATAGAGACCAGCCAAATGAGGGAGACATAAAGCATATTAATTTATTATCTGATATATCTAAATATTAATGGTTTGTAACCAGATTCAGATTTGGATCTATACACAAAAGAAGCGATGTTCATGCAATGTTCCCTGCCCACCCATATAACCAACTCATCAATCCAAATATAATAATCACTTAAAATCTCAGAGGATCTTTCGTCACGCGAGTTTGCTATATTTGCAACACATGCATGAGTGACATTGACATGTTTCTGTCCATATTCATGGAAATTAGTGAGCCATTAATTTCTCATATTTATGATGGTTCTTGTCTTATTTTCAATATGGTTTCAATTAGTTCTTACACGTGTGGTGGGGCAGCACTAAAGAGTGTTAGATGTTAGTTTCGTCATTAAATGTGCAAATTGGCTTATATAATTTTATAAAAACAGCGTCAAAGGGAGAAGATGAAGATGAAGATGCTTCCTATCCAGCATGGCCTGCCTGGCTCTCTGGGAGACAAGAGGCTGCAACCACCCGTGTGCATGCATACATATTTTTACTATATATGTACGGAGCTGCACCCTATTATATATCTTTTCAACGTAGAGGAATCTTAACTTTTTATTTTTCACGGAAGACCAGTACTCATGCCATTAATTAACAATTCATGTGCACGTTACATGCTAATTTTCACAAAATATAAATATATAAATAAATAACACTGTTATCGATTTTATTGGGGTGTCTTTGCCACAAATTTCTATATATATTCAAGGGTCTAATTGCCAAAAAAATTATATTTAACGGGCAAATTGCCAAAGGAAGGAGAAGCTCGGGGGCAAAAGAGAAAATAAGCCTTGACCTTAAAGTCGTGAACTTTTTCTTCTCTTAAATAAAGTTACAAAACCGGATAACGTACGTCCGAAATACTTGAACAAAACCGGATTTACAAAACCGGATATACTTGAACAAATGCTACAGCCAATCTTCTGTCTGCATCCTTTTCTTTATTCTTTCAATTTTGTACAGAAAAAATTAAAACGAACACCCACTATGTGCCAACAAAATGTTCATGCCGTATAACGTACGTCCTGTAATACCATACCCATAAAAATTGTCGAGCGTGAAAATGCACTCAGAATTATCATACCCATAATTTTTTTTTTTTTAATGCACTAGGGAATAACTGAAAGTCCTAAATAAGAACGACAAAAACATGCAATTCTTCTTTTGAAGTCGTATTTTTCTTTTATTAGTATCAGTTTTCTTAGTCGTTGTCGTAATTAATTTCTATATCGTGTAAATATTCATAGTCCTATCCTATATATCATTTTGCAAGCCATCGTCGTATTCTTAAGAACTGTCGTTTTTTGTATATCGTCTTGTTTTTTGTGATGTCGTCGTTGTTGAAATTTATGGTTTTCAAGATGTTGTCGTCTAATGGATTATTTCTGTAGTCGTTAACGCATTCAAAGTGTGCGTGTTTTTTTTTTTTCAGTCGTTTTATTGTTGTCGTTTTTTGAGCTATTGTCGTTTATGAGGTTTTGTTATAAGATGTTGTCTTCAATCTTTTTAACCGTCCAAATCTTCAACAAAGTTGTGGTTTTTGAGGCCATCATTGCTTCATAATTGCCTTTTCTTCAATTTTGTATCGTTTTAGATTCTCTGCCTTATTTTTGCCCGCAATTCTCGAAAGTTATCGTTTCTAAATATGATGTCGTTTTTCTCAGTTCATGTCGTTTTCTTAAATTAATGTCGTTTAGTATATGATGATTGTTGTTTTCCTGATGCTTACCTCCATTCCATTTAAAAGAAAAACTCGTCTCTGTTCTGCACATTGGAAAGTGGGAAACAACGTCTGATCAAATTTTTATTAAAAAAAAAACCCCTAGTTTTTGTTCTTTTGTAAGTGGTAACCGAAGTTTTTCTGCGTCGTTTTTCAAATTTTGGTAACCTTCGTTTTTCAGTTCTTTATTGAATTTCAAACTCGAACTCTTCTAAGAGAAGCAATATATATAGAACAGATTTTGAGCCAAAAAAACAAAAAAACAAAAGGTGTACAAAATTTTTATGGAGAAAACTTACACATACATTCATGTACAAGTATATATAACAGAAAACTTGGTCTCAACGCCACCAAAATTTACACCTTATACACGCTTAGATGAGAAAGAAAAATTTCATCTGAGCTAGTTGTTAAGAATATTGAGAAGGGACACTCTGGTTTTGATCAAACGCCTGAATAGACGCTCTAGTCTTTCTTCAAATTCCTGAACGCAAAACTCCAGATTTTGAAGCTCATTTTGCACGTTCTCAACATGCAACTTGTGGTCAAATTTGTTTGCCTCTTGACGCATGAGAATGTTCAAAACAACATCCACTTTCTCAAACTCATTGGCTGTAGTCATTTCATTTTCCTCACAACCAACTCTCTTTCTTTGCATAAGCTTGGAGACCAAAGACCAGCCGCTCAGCTTGGCTTGTACCTTAGCCCCGCAAACAAACGACAACAAGGACTCGAACACCGCCAGTGTGACTGCCTCCACCTCTCTTAAAGCACAAACCAATGCCATAGTTTCAACGTTGTCGTTCATTTTGTTGGGAGGACACAATGAGCTTTTCGTTTCGCCGGTTTTCGAATTCCCAGCCAAGGCCTTGTGGATTGCCTTCTTCACCACTTTCCGTGATGCAAAGTACTTCCTGATCTCACTCTCGATCCCAACTTCAGCCCCCGGCCTTCTGCGACGCATGATTGATTGGATCTCGCGCGCGCATTCCTTGGTGTGCAAGACGGCATCCTTGGCCGCGCTGCACATGTCCAGGAGCCTAAGAGAGCCGTCCACCATTTGGTCAACCCACTTCTCTTGGCGGCCTTGGACAAAGGCTTGTTGAGTCAACGGCAATTGAAGCAACTTCTCAACACAATCATGCAAATCCTCTAGACCACTCAGCTTGTGGCTTATTGAAGATGATGATGATGAAGTTGCGCCAAAAGTAGCCCCTAACCGCCGCAAGTGCTCGTCGCATTGCTCGAAAAGCGGGTGCGGTTTGACGGGCAAGCTGTTGGAGCGGAAATGGTATTGGGATTTTGAGGCAACCATTTTTTTTTTCCTCTTAAAAGTTGAATCTAAAATGAAGTTTTTGAGACTTGGGTGGGCTTTCCTTTGCTCTCTTCTCAATTATATATGATCGCGTATGAGGGAAACATGGAGCATCATATCTTTTCAAGATACAAATTATGCATAACAACATGTATCAATATTCAGATTTGGATATCAAGACTGTAGCAACTATATGCTTATGCAATGTTCCCTGCCCGCCAATGTCTCCAACTCATTTCCCAAATTTTTTTTTGGCTTCAACAAATCTAATAATATCTCTATTATGAGATGCAGCTATATTCTATAAATGCAACACGAGTGGCTTTGACACCATTTTCAATGAATCAAGACAATGCATTATTTTCTCATGTTTTGTGATATTTGTGTTTATTATTTTTTTGCTTTTGTTAGCCAAGTTTCAATGAATCAGAGCAAAAGGCCATTATTTTCTTGTATTTTATAGCATATTATTGTCATTATTTTCTTTTTTTTTTTGTTTCAATTAATTCACCGGTTTCTACTTTCAATGAATCAGACCATTAAGGGCCATTATTTCTTATACTTTATAATTAATATATCGAAATTATTTTTTCTTTTCCCTTAAAAAAAAAAAAGAAGCTATTTTTTCTTTCAATTAATTTTTATGGAACAAGTGATGAGGCTAAAAAGGAGTTGGTTGTGCACAATTAATGCAAAATGATTATGAACAGGTCAAAAGTTGAAGATGCCCTGTTGTCACAAGAGATGCACGCATGGTAAATATGGTACTTCAACAACAAATAATACTTTTCTCTCATGTTATCTTTGACCAAAATTCTTTACTTATATGTTGGATTCTACAGGACTAAAGTAGGAAATTTCCGAGCGCTATCTTATATAATTATTGGTTGGTCACTTACTAAATGTTAAAAATTTTGTCTATTACATTAAAATACAAGATAATTCGCACGAGAGGAAAAAACAAAAACAAATTCTTGTCGTATACGTTGAATTTTGGGTTTTTGTCTCAAAGCTTGTCTTTTCATCTTGCTTGCTCATGATGATCTTATATGTTGGATATACGTGAAAGTGACTGGCAGCTTCATCCACTTTACAGAATCACAACTCAATCTTGGCCAATAAGAGGTATTTGATTTGGATCTCAACTCTATATCACCCATGTTTGTTTTTTGTCTCCTCACTACCAGATCACAAAATCATCACCCAACTTGTTTTACTCTTTATTAATAATAATAATAATAATAATAAGTAAGTTTACACGAGTGTATTTTCACTTAGAAAACAACATGAAGTTGACAAGCATCTTCATTCTCAATGCCGCTTTTCTGGTTCCCTGTACGGAGACCAACTATAAGACAAAGAGTTACTCGTGGCGCAAGGTAGTAATATTATTACCAAATGAGATCATTGCTGAATATTGTGTTGTTGGTGAAGGCTTTTCACTTGAAATAAGATCCCCAAATGCTGTGGCTGTTGTTAAGCAAAGAGAGACAGACATCAGGTCTAAAGTCAAAACCATTTTCGGATTTGTGGTTGAGTATATATATGTAAATTGGTGGATGGAAACTGCTCATAGGTTGAGTTTTTCGCTTAATTAAATATATATATATATATGCGTACTCACACATATTTTGTTTCCTTATAAGTAATATTTTTGTTACACTTTTTAATATCATTATTACATAAAATATATATCATTAGTTTTTTATGTTATATATAGGACCGGTCCTTTAGAAATAGACCTATCAATTTAGGCCATTAGCCTGAACCAAAACATGAAATTAGCTTGGGGCCGACCCTGGCACTTTCTTTTTTAGGTTTGGCCATCTCCGCCCAATGAGAATATAGAAAAAATAGAGAATTTATTCTTGAGAGTACATGAGTCTCTTTACTCTTGATAAATACCTTTTTATTGGTGCAATTATTTGACTAAAAAAATTATGAATCAAGAGTAAAATGTAAAAATCTTTTAAGGAGTATTTGTCAAGATTGCCTATGAATATATGCCCGGCCTGCAATTTTTTTATAAGAACAAATAAAACGTCAAAAACATGATCTAATCATAAGTTTTCGGATCTTTGGAATGTGCAGGGCTAGGTCTAAGAGCCAGGCTTCGGACCAACCCGTTCAACCTGGTAAAAATAATAATAATAAGTAAGTTTACACGAGTGTATTTTCACATAGAAAACAACATGAAGTTGACAAGCATCTTCATTCTCAATGGCGCTTTTCTGGTTCCCTGTACGGAGACCAACTATAAGACAAAAGAGTTACTCGTGGCGCAAGGTAGTAATATTATTACCAAATGAGATCATTGCTGAATATTGTGTTGTTGGTGAAGGCTTTTCACTTGAAATAAGATCCCCAAATGCTGTGGCTGTTGTTAAGCAAAGAGAGACAGACATCAGGTCTAAAGTCAAAACCATTTTCGGATTTGTGGTTGAGTATATATATGTAAATTGGTGGATGGAAACTGCTCATAGGTTGAGTTTTTCGCTTAATTAAATATATATATATATATGCGTACTCACACATATTTTGTTTCCTTATAAGTAATATTTTTGTTACACTTTTTAATATCATTATTACATAAAATATATATCATTAGTTTTTTATGTTATATATAGGACCGGTCCTTTAGAAATAGACCTGTCAATTTAGGCCATTAGCCTGAACCAAAACATGAAATTAGCTTGGGGCCGACCCTGGCACTTTCTTTTTTAGGTTTGGCCATCTCCGCCCAATGAGAATATAGAAAAAATAGAGAATTTATTCTTGAGAGTACATGAGTCTCTTTACTCTTGATAAATACCTTTTTATTGGTGCAATTATTTGACTAAAAAAATTATGAATCAAGAGTAAAATGTAAAAATCTTTCAAGGAGTATTTGTCAAGATTGCCTATGAATATATGGCCGGCCTGCAATTTTTTTATAAGAACAAATAAAACATCAAAAACATAATCTAATCATAAGTTTTCGGATCTTTGGAATGTGCAGGGCTAGGTCTAAGAGCCAGGCTTCGGACCAACCCGTTCAACCTGGTAAAAATTATGAGGTACTCAAATTGCAATCTTTACAAACTTCGGAAGCAGTGCATATAGGAATTGAATCCTTCGAGAACGCATCACAAGCATTACGGCATATCTAGCCAATATATGAACAACACAATTACCCTGCCCAGAGAGAAAACCACACAGCACAAAATTGGCATCTTGCATAACAGAAACGACATAATCAAGGATCGGCCATGTTACAGGAATTTTGCAATCACTTTTCAAGATATCAACACCCAAGACAATTTTGCAATCACTTTTCAAGATATCAACACCCAAGACAATTTTGCAAAATTTCTTTTACTTTTCTTTTTGTATTGGAACTTGGAATGCAAGTATCAAACGTAATTTGCCGAAAAGTAAGCTAATTGGTCTTCAAAACCATGTCTAGGATGTAAAAAATAAGGGAGCAAAAATTTGGACGCGTTTAAAAATGAAAACGTTTTTAATCTCAGACATAAATCATTTTTAAAAATGTATTTAGTAATTTTATTAAGATATTATTTTTAGTGTAAAAAAACCTATTAATATCTCTCTTTCTCTCTCTCTCTACTCGAGAGAAGAAAAAACGAAAACAAAAAATAAAAAATGACTAAAAATCATTTTTCATTTCTCTATTATTTTACACTAAACCAAAATTTCATTTTCATTTCTGTTTTTTGTCTTTATTGCGTCAAACGTCGTTTTGAAAACGTTTTCATTTTTTCTCTCTCAAAAAACGTGAAAAATAAAAACAGAATTAATTCCAAACAAGGCATCAATCCACATTATTGTTCTGTCTTATTGTTTCAAGGCACCACCCTAATTTACAAAATGAAAATACTATGTCCAAATTATAGTGAAAAGGGAATGGTTTATAGTGTGAAGATGAAAACTTTTGTTCAAAAAGAATGAAAGAATGAAATGGATGAAAATACTCCTAAAAAAATTGAAAATGGCTGAATTTTTTATGATGAACAGGACGGCTTCCTTTTATATATAAGTTATATAGACAATTCAATTGAGAAAGCAATTTTGATTCACAGCTCGGATTTTATACAAATTTAGGTCAGCCTCAACAACATTATTAGTAGTGTTGAACGGGTTTCTGTTAGGTTTGATTCTCATTTCTCCCTATCCCCTCCCACCTCGTTGCCTCTTCTCTTCTAATGAGGCTGCCTCATTCAACATGTCAGCCGCATCCTTGTGCATGTCCAACTTTGCAAGAGCTACCGACTGCATGTAAAACGCCGTAGGCCAATCCGGGTAAACACACTGCGCTTGCATCGCATCTCGAAGAGCGGGATCGGGTTGATCGCATAACAAATAGCACAAACTGCGCCTAGCAAAAACAGTTGGAGAGACCATTGTTCCTACATTTATGAACTGCGCAAAGACAAAAAAGATCACATCGTAATCCAAGTTCTAATCTTGGTTCAAGCTTCTCTCTTTACCATGAGGAATTCACGTGCATGTGTTAGATTTTACAATTCAATCGTGAAATTTAGATTTGTACCTGGGAATAACAGTCAATGGCAGTTTTAAAATCTTTGTCCTTGAATGCATAGTCCCCTCTTTTTCTTGCATCGAGCATGTCTCTCATTTGCTGAGTCCACTCTTGGAACGACAACTGAATCCATCAACAATTTCATGTGAATATATACCGATTTCCAAGCTAGATTGTGCGAAAGGCATATGGCATATGCAATAATACAAGACCTTGTTGCGGTAGTTACCTCATTGGTTCCTTCATCATCTCTGTAGTGGGTCATAACCAAGATTTGATGAATTGCTGTGAGGTCCATCCGGGAACAGGCCTCTCCCATAGGTGAAAGGGGCCGCGGTGGGGTTGAAGGGGCTTCCTCATGCTTTGGAATTCCAAGCATGACATAAGACGGAACCTGCAACCCATATATATACTGTAATTAGATTCTCAACTAGAGCAATAACCTTTTCCATATCAAGCGTGCAGGGTTTTTTTTTTTCGCGTGTCTGGTAAATGTAGTTTCTGGAGTTGTTGTAATACGATGAAGCACTCAACAAACAAAGATGATGTAGCTCAGAAGAATGGAACAACATATCTGATATTGCAATAAGAGAAAAGTTGCTTACATCGGGTTTAGTGTGCAGAGGAGAAAGTGTTGAAACGAGCTCCTTCGTACTAGGCCGCTCCCTAGGTTCATATTGCAGACATTTAGAAGCAAGATTGACAACTACTGTTGCCTCTTCTGTAGAAAACTTTCCTTCCAGATGTGAGTCCATTAAAAGAACAATATTCTTTTCGCGTATCATGTCAAGAGCCTACAAACAAAAACTGATATCAAATTATTGCCATAGCATCTGTGAACTATACAATAGCTAGCATTGAACAACTAGCTATATTGCCATGGGATTATCTTGTACTGAACTTATAAAAAGTTGAAGATGAATTTCCACATCCAAGCATGTAAAGACAAAACGTTGGAGGGTGTATTATAACTGCAACATAATTATAGAAAACTTTACTCAAGGAAAAAAATCATGGAAACTCAACCCTTGTAGTTAAAAGTTCGAGTAACAAACAACTTCTAGTTGGACACTCAGACAGCACAATGGCATCAGTAGATAACAAAGGCAGCTAAATACATATATGAATAACGTACAGTACAATATAAGCCACTTACATGACTTGGAGGGATATGCTTGCCACTTAACAGATCCAGAAGGACAGTTCCAAAACTGTAGATAACACTTTCTGGGGTGACTCTTCCTAAAATACCAAAATAATGATAATGGCAACAACTAAGAAGTCAAACAAATAGAAGAAAACTACCATGAAACACAAGTTGAAATATAATAATACAACACTTGGACAATTTCTACCATATGTCATACATAAAAGGAACTTTAATTTGTGGATTTTGTACATTTTCTCATAATTTTAAAACATATGAACGGAATAGGGATACATTCGATTTGGAAAACTAGAAATGAACAGGAAAGGTAACCAAACGAAGAGGTGATAATCAGATTAGAGAAGTTATTACCATTTTTTAAATACTCAGGAGGTGTATAGGCAAGATTGGTGCTGTAACTTTTCCCGTCCCTACTATTCTTCATCAAGCCAAAACATGAAAGGCGCGGATCACCATCCTACACGTTTAATTAAATATCAAACAAAATGAAACACAATACGTGCAAAAGAAAAACTTCAGAATAAATACTAAATTTGAGAAACAATACCTCATCAAAGAGAACCCTATACGCATTCAAATCATGGTATAATCGACGACCCTCAGTACTAAAATAATCCAAGGCTTCAGCAATATAAAGAGACACTCTTAAACGCATGGACCACTCAATTGTTTGATTTTCCCCTGCCAAGAACAGATAGATAATCTAAGATGAGCAAAGTGCAACTCCTTACTCACCATTTGAAAAGAATAGAACAGAGATTGAATAATCTCAAATGACTCCTTTCAAAAACTATAGTCTACATGGGGAAAAAACACATATCATACCAAGCACTTACATGTATGTGACACCCAAAAAAAAAAACAAATTGACATAAGCAACCATAAGAAAAGGCAGAATTTCTATACTAGCAAAAGCAAGAAGAAAATAATTTGGGATTAGGAAAAGGCTTAATTCCTTCACTAAGGACCTGTCCTACATGTATCATGTATATTGAATCAATGACTACGCAAAAGGTAGAACAAAAATTTTTATTTATCATAGACCAATGTTACACCTTTTGAAAATCATTCTACATCCCACTTCTATATGTTATAATGTAGGATCGATTTTTGCAAAGGAACAAAACAAACCCTGAGCCCGGGAATTATCGGCACAAATGAGACACTAATCCCATATTGCCACACTTGCAACAAAGACATTGTTGAGGTTACAGCATACAGAAGCAAATGTTGACGCTTAAAAACAAAACTCCCAGAACAAAATTACATTCAAGAAAGCAATTTGGAGATTCTCCGCAAAAGGGTATAACCAAAAGGCTAAACCATTAAGAAACAGAACAGAAAAGAACAGAACCAAATCAAGCTAAACCAAAGAGAGAAAAGAAAAGAGACGTACAGTGGAACAAATGCTTAGCAAGAGTGTCATTAGGCATGTACTCAGCAACGAGCAGCCTCTCATCACCATCACAGCAATACCCAATCAAATTCGCCACCCTTCGATGCCTCATCTCCCCTACTCCTCTCGCCTCCTCCTTAAATTCCCAAAAAAAAAACAAAACAAAAAACAATGTTTTAGCTTAATTCACAAAAAAAAAAAAAAAAAAAAAAAAAAAAAAAAAAACCCCACAAAAAAAAACAAAACAAAAAACAATGTTTTAGCTTAATTCACAAAAAAAAAAAAAAAAAAAAAAAAAAAAACCCCCCCAAAAAAAAAAAAAAAAAAAAAAAAAAAATGAAAAACCCCACGAAAAAAAATGAAAAAAAAAAATCCATACGGCGAACTGCTTGGGGTCGGGCCAGGCGAGCTTGGTGAACTTCTTGACGGCGATCCATGAGCGATTATGGAGGCGGCCCTTGTAGACGACGTTGGGGGCTTTCGCGCCGCTCTCCGAGACGATGAAGTCAGCGCTGAAGTTGTTGGTCGCGGCTTTCAGGTCGGCCAGCGAGAACTCACAGAACGTTGCCGGGGAAGGGCCTGGACCTGGGCCCGGCGCCGAGCTCGGCGGCTCCGGCCCCACCGTCGGAGGCGAGTGGTGGTTGTATTGGGTCGGGTTCTGATGGACCTGCTGTTGGGCCTGGCCCTTCTTCTCTTCAGCATCGTTGCTCTTGCTCTTAAACAACGATATACAGCAACCCATCTCTCTCTCTCCTCCTTCTTTCTCTCTCTCTCTCTCCTCTTTCTTTTTGTCTCTCTCTCTCTGGTTCACTGTTGGAAGCTGCTTAGAGCTGGCTGGCAGATACTAAAGGGAAACCATGAATGAATGAGTGAAGTGGGTGGGTAAATTAAAGTTAGAAAAAAGGAGAAGAAGAAGAGGAAGAGAGAGAGAGAGAGAGAGAGAGAACGCTTTCCTCTGTATTTTCCTCTCTGTCTCTGGTTTCTTTTAATTTTAATTTTTTAAAATATATATATTTATTTATATGATTAGATGTCTCCTCTCCTAAACAGTTATTTTAGTTGATTTTATGTTTGTTACAACAACAGGGAAGTGGGTAGTTTCAAGCAAAAAACAGGGAACTGGGTAGTAACAGTTAAAGGAGGAGTTGAGTTGAGGACAAGGGATTGGTTTGGTATTGATTTTGGGAGAGGAAAAGCACTTATTGAGACAGCAGAAGCTATCCGAGGTGGTGGATAAACTTAACGTAACTATATGGTTTGGATATTATTTGGTGATTGGCATTCCATTTAAAGGCGGCTTTGTACATAAATTAAAAATTAAAATCGTTTTCATAAATTTGAATCATTTATGAGTGTTTTGAGTTTTTCTTTTTTTTTTTTTCCTTTTTTTCTTTCTAATAAAGCGACATCAACATCAGTAGAAATGTGAAAAGGGTTTTAGGATTGTATGATTTAATCATTTTCCTCCCACGTCAACGTGTGTGTGTTTTCTTTTTTTAATTTTTGTTTTCTTGGCGTCTTTCAATTGTCTTTTTTTACTTAAAAAGAGCGGTACTTGGTAGTTAGCTTAGCGTCCAATTTGAAGCACGCAACAGGAAAATTATGGAATCCTCCACTGGTTTTTTATTTTCACTTATAGCCCGTTTATTTTGTTGATTTGAGTTTAAAATTTAAATTTTATTACAGTAAAAAATTCTCACAGACAATCACATCTAACTTTTTTACTACAGTAAAAAACTCTCACATAAAATCACATCTCAACTCGAATTAAAAACTCGAATTAGCGAAATGAACGATAATTTATGTCTCTCTTTTAAAAAAGAAAAAAAATAGAATTTGCGTTGCAACAAATATAAGAATCTGAGGGGCTGTTCGGCAGCCTCTTTTTTGAGTCAAAAACTCAAAAAAAGTAACTCGAGTTATAATTTTATTCAAGTTTATATTTTTTTAAGTTTGAACTAGAGTTTGAACTCAAGTTTGAACTCGAGTTTGGGACTAAAACTCGAGTTTAAGTTTTCCCTTCAACTCGAGTTCAGAAACTCAAACTCAAATTAATGAACAATATTTTTTATATTCTTAAAAATGCTATAACTTTTTCGTTTTAATTCTGATTGAGATGATTTTTTTTTCTATACTTTGACAACGAAAAGGCGAATAAAACCCCACCCATATACCATATTAAAATTTTTCATCAGCATTGAGTTTTTATTAAAATACTATATAAATATAAATTCAAGTTTTGACTCACTCAAACACAAACTCAAAAAGATTCTTATCTCAAACCATAACTCAAATGTACACAACTAAACACAAACTCAAATTATAACTTCAACTCAAGTTATAACTCAAACTCAACTCAAAATTTACATTCAAATCACCTAACTCAAACAAGACAAAAGAACCGCCACTGAATTTCTGAAGCGCTGTTCATTTTTTGGTTGTACTCATGGGAATCTTTCATAATTCATATCATCTACGGGCAGCAGAATTATTGAAGTGTTGTTACGTTGTAAAAGAACAGGCAATGATTTTTTATGTACTTTTTTTGTTCTGAAATATTGTGAGTGTATATATATTTTTGTAAGGGTCATTCTTCCATATAGCATTGAATATATAAATATGGGTGACACACAGAGTGAACAAGGCTTATTTGTTTTTGTTTGTGTGTTTTTTTCGATCTCATTACTATTAATTATAAGGGATTACCACGTTTAATTCTTAAGATATTCTTCACTTATAAAGACGCTAGCAACTTCTTCGATTTTTTCTTCTTTTTGAGTTTGTTAGGTTTTCAATTAGCAACTTTTGACAATGTATCTGTTTAAGAAAATTCAAAAAATCAGATTTGAGAAGATGGTGACCGAGCAAATTTATCAGATGAAGGCATTTGAATTTCAAGATGAAGAGATGAGTTTCTGATAAGATAAGTTGCCGAAAGGATAAAAACATGGAGTCAAAGTTTTAAAAAAATTTGATAAGATAATCTTAGTTTAAATTGAATTATAATTCAAATTTAAAATAGAATTTGGTTACTGCAAGATAAAAATACCAGGTTATGCGTTTTAAATAAGACATAATCTACAAAAAGCTTTTTGTGAAGATAGAGCATGAAAAACATTACTGAGTTCTTATTTTAAAGTGAAGATTAAATTGTGAAGATTACAATAACTCAGTAGAACAAATTGTGCGACAATTTAAATTTTGAATAAATTTGAAAATAAATGTTTACTGCTCTATAAATAGAATTCTAAGACCATTCATTCTGCTTCCTGGGTTTCACACATAATGTTTTGAAAAGTTCTCATTATCATTTTTCAAAAGAATAAGTAGTAGTTTTCAGAATGAGACGTTTGCAATGTTGAAGAGAGTTCAATTGCTCATCATTCTTTACGAGAAGAATAAGAAGCTTTTGAGAGATAACGCTCTGTCAACTGAAGGAATTTCACTGCAGATTCTGAAAATGAGTGGTGCTCGTTGAATAAATCGCTAAATTGTTACAAAAAGATTGAGTTGACTTAGTAAATTGTTCAATAACTTAACGTAACCCATAAATGTAAGATTTTATCATGGTACTAATTTAAAGTGGGTAATTGTTTAATCAAGATGCTGTTATAACAATTGTTACAACAATTATTGCGACAGTAATATTTTACATAGATCTTTCAGAGTTCAATCTATTCGCTCATTTTTCTGTTAAATTACTCGCTCACCCTTAACACACACCACGATATTCACACTGTTGTTCTCGCGAATGCATTATAAGCTATTCAAAAGATCCTCCGCACATCTTTATAACAATAGCACACCCACGATGTAATCTCCATCGTCCGATCTGTATTTGAGAGTTTTAAACCCGTATACGAAAGATTTGTCCGTTTTTTTAATAGCCATTAGCGTTATTTGATACCTGAACTTGTTGAGTGGTCTGTTTTGGTCCTGAGTGAAGAGTATTTTAAGTGTAAATCTGATTCGAAAGCATACATTCTCTACTAAACGAGTGTTCCTTGAAGGATATAAATCATGATGTGCCACTTTTTGTGTGGTAACAGTCTCGTTCATAGTTGGCACCCTTTCAATGACGCTAAACAAGATTACACGAAGAATTACGACATTTTTTTTATTGGGCTAATAATATTATCACACTTGTAAATTGGAAGGTTGGTATCCCTTTTTGTTCTCATGAGGATAAGAGGGAGAACTGAATTCTAATTCAATACAAAATGATGAACAATGCGGGTACATATACGAGTTACGACCCTCAAATGCTTGCACATAAATTTAAAAATATATTTAATGCAATGTTAAATTAGTGTAACAATACTAAATTTTAATATTTGAGTAGAAAAATTACTCTCTAATGTAATTGTATTATTTCTGTCAAATTTGATACTTGTTATATTTAATCGTAAATTTACCATCAAATATAACACATGACACATTTAATATTTAATTATTATTAGTTGATGTGTTTATTTTTTTATTTAATCATCGCAATATTTACATTTTAAATTATTTCAAAATTAAAAGCTTACAACTTTTAAAATTTAATAATTATGACAAAACATAGAGTAAAATAACATTACCATTGGAGCACAAGTGAAAATAACATATCAAATATGTATTATCACACATTTTTACGCCAAATATGCAATTGACATAAAATATTTTATGATCATGCATCTCAAACCGAATCAAAGCAAAACTTTAGAAAGTAAAATAAAATAATCAAAAGCAATGTATACTTTTGCCCCATTAGAGTGGAGGATAGTTATCTCAACAGTAGGTTGATCATAAAAATCATGTTGTGTTGAGCGAATAATAGATACCAACCAGTTTAGAGATCAGCATGAACTTGTACGTTTTGGTGGGATTTGAATGTAGTCTCATTGGGATTTTCTGATACGTTAATCATGGCAATATAATTTCTTTTAAACTCAACAAAGTGCGTTTTCTGCTAACAAGTAATATTCTACTAACATTGCATTAAGCCAAGTTTAGTCAATTTATTTCAACAACAAAAAAAAAAGGAAATTGATTCAATTAAAACTTCCCATTCAGGTGGCTGTTAGCTGCATCTACACTTTTAACGGATCACGCATTGACAGAAAGTAATATACAAGCTACAGCTGAAAAGCTTTTCTAATTGCTAGAAATTTCACAAGTTAAAAACCTCGATCAATGGAGGAAAATGATGCAACGACTCGTAATCAAAAAAATAATAATAAATAAAAGAAAAAAAATAATATTTGGTTCTATCAAACCCCGCTTTTATTCTCAAGTGTTCACTCAGCTAAATTATCAAAAAAAAAAAAAAAAGGTCTCCTGTACAATAATTTAATAAAAATGAAAGTACCTAAAAAGGTCAAAAAGGAAAACATATATATATATATATATATGTCGTACAAGATCTTGTAATCGATGGGCATCTATGTGACTTGCGTCACTCCAGGCAGCCCATAAATAAACCTACACTGAAACTCATTATAATGCAAAACTGAAAGGAAATCCGCTTACTGAGATTTTTTTTGTGTATTCTGCAGGACTTCCTGCTCCATTCATGAAAGGCAGCTCATGGATTCTTTGCGTGCTGTTCCCACACACGGCCAAATTGCAATACGATGACAAGAAATCAGAGCATTTGGCTGTTTACTCCCTCGCAATAAGAGAGTTCATGAAAGAATCGTATCGACAAAAGTGGCCTCAGCCAGCCTATTATTGCTCGAGCAACTTGCCCCAGAATCAGCTTGTGAATCTGATGTTTTGCTAAAACAAATTCAGTGGCAGTTTTCTAATCAAAATGGCCTCTCCTCGTCGTGTGTGCCGGTTTTTTTTTCCGTTCCTGTTTTGATTATTAGACAATTGGGGGTGCTTGTCCCAATAAACCTGAAACTGCTTTGTCAACCCAGACAATATATTCCTTCAGATTGGTGATGCCATTTGCCACAGTATGGGTTGCTGCAAAGTCATTGTACACGTCCTTCCGGCCAACTTCAACTTTATTAGCATCCTTGAGGTGAACATGACCAGAAAGCAATTGATGACTGTACAGCAAGATTCCAGGGAAGAGATATCTCAAAGATGAGCTTTTTGATCACTCAACTTGCCAACCCAGAGAGATTGGCATATCTGACCGCGTAAAACGGCCTATGAAACTCTCTCTTGCTGTCTAGAAACCGTTTCTTCGCTCTGCTGCAAAAGCTCCTCATAAGCTTTCATGGAATTAGCCGTGAACCTTTCCATGGCCTCAAAAATGCGTTGCAAACTAGCCTGCACGCTGGTATTGCTAGTGTCACTCTGGTATACAATATGCCCACTTACTGAGAGACTGTTATTTTCTCCCGACACCAGCACCATTTTCTTGTCAAATGCTTGAATCTCCTTCTGCATCTTCTGATCCTCTCTATCCATGTTCCTCACTTTTCTCTCCAGATCCTTGTTTGCCATCATCTTTTGACGCGCTTCCTGCTTATCTTGTTCCCAAATCTGAATCACACTCATCGTGAATACACGCATGGAATCAACCACTTCTTTTTCAGATAACCTGTCCATGGCTTGTGACCACTGATTGCAGATTACAAAAACTGGGGGCGCACCTAACCTGCCAGGTGAAAAGGGAACTATTCCATCTGGTGTTTCTTCAGGTTCGTATAAAAGACATTTGACAAGCCAATTATTTAAAGCCCTCACAAAACCCTTTTGGGCACTTATCCAAGTAGAGAATCTGAAAGTCCAGTTAAGAAGCTCACGCCCAAACTGCAAAGTGGCTTCAAGATGTGCATCGCCATGCTTTTTACCAGATCCAATGGAACCTAAACCTCTAGCTTCTCTGATTACTTCACATTGAATATGATGGCATTCAAGCATACATTTCCACATCCTGGTTAACCTAAAGATATGCCAAAGAAAAACCAATACGAATGTAAAGCATGAGTATAACGTGGAAGAAACTCGTACATCTACAAATGACAGAATTCCAACTTGGCAATAATCAGGAAATATAAGAAAACTTGCTCATGCGTTCTTCCAAAAAAAACGGGTGTCCGTGTTACATATAGGCATATGAAGAAGGCAAAAAAAATATTTCTTGCAATCAAATAATTGTAAACTATCTCGCCAAGTTTTAGACTTATTTTTCAGCCTAACATTAGCACCCATAATCCTCAACCTATATTGGTGTATGGGTTCTGCGCAGTCCAATATGAGAACTAATTGCAAGTTAATGGGCAAGCGAAATACTTAAAATAGAGAAACAGATTTTTCTTCTCATTTTCACTGCTTAAATTTCCTGTCACTTTCATTCTCTAATAACAAAGCCTGGATACTTGTAGGAGTTTTCTACTTCTCCAATACCACACAAACTACAAAAGCCTCCAGACCAAAAGGATTCGAATATGGCCCGAGTCATGTCTCTCCCGAATAAAATAAACAATTGGCATATTCCACACACACATAAGTTTTCACTGTATTAATAAAATAAACACAAAAGAAAATAGCTTGATAACAACTCACCCAATAAAATAACCATGATATCAACACTACTTGATAATAACTAATACAATTAATAATCATGGTATCGGCATTACTTAACAATGACTAAAAACAGAACCAAATTCAACAAACCAGACAAATTAACCAAAGATCACAACAAGACAAAATGAACAATAACTTGGATAATCACAAAATATACCCAAAATAAGTTGTTTGAAACCCATAAAACGTAAAACGTCAGCTGAATTTTCTAAGAAAAAATCCAGGATCGAGTGATAATTACAAGAAGTAGATTAACAAGAGTTAAGGACCCCACAAAGATAAAATACAGAACCAGTAATTTCACGTACCCGTGAAGTAATTCATTAAGTTGTGGCCATAATTCTTCATCCCTGATATTATTTATTGTCACGGAGATCTTATCAACTACTTGAATTGCAATTCTTATCTTTGTAGAGAGACTCGTTATTAAAGTCCTAGTTGTATCAACTTTGTGCGCCTCAGCACCCCTTTCATCTAAACGCTTCAGCTTACGGCACTTTCTATCATGAATTACTCGCATCTTTTCCTCAGCCTGCAGATATAATCATAAATTATCTACCATTAAGCAACATACCATAAGTAGACATGCAACATGCCAACACCTCAAAACTGTAATCCTAGACAATAACCAAGAAAGATAAAAATAATCGGAAGATCGTGATCCAATATGTCATATCGAATTGCTACAGGAAAATAAATGCATTTTTCTTCAAAAGGCCCCACGTGGGACAATTGTCGTTTGATAGCTGTATTACAATTTGATAAGAGCTCAAAAGCATCAACCAAGAATCATCCTTCATACTTCATGGGACTAGTCACACTAGCTTTCACAAAAGAAGTTCGTTTTGTGCGTCACTAAACTCCCATGAACTTGAATTAAGCACTAAACATATAAAATTGCAGTAAATAAAGGGTAGGATAGGAACATAAATTTAGCACAGCATAGTGAGAAAAATCCAACCTTTCCCTGATAAACTCAACGCACACAATACTGTAGAAAGACAAATAGCAAGAAAATATTATGATAGTAGTGTGACTGCTAGCTACTAGCGAGCATACCTTAACTTCATTGTAAAGCTTCTTTTCCCAGAGGTATAGCTTGTGCAATGTCGAAGAAAGATTTCTCGATCTCGTGCGCAATTCTTCTTCAAAGTCCAACTGGGCGGGACCAGCCTTGTCGGCAGAGGACGAGGACTCCGCGCCCTTGGATGTTGACGGCTGAGAAACTGATAAAGATGGAGTAACCACATGCAACATCTTGGAAGAAACTGCTTAACAACATAAGGTGAAAGTTAAAACTGCAGCTAACCTAACCCCAATTCACACAAATTGGATAAATAAATTTTTTTTTTTTTTTTTAAAAAAAAGTTAAGTTTGCTAGACATAGAACTTCTCACGGTGATACACAGTAATGCTTCTGAATTAGGCATCCAACAACAAAAAGACAAAATTTCTCACAGATCAAGCAAACAAAAGCAGAAAAAGTAAGATTTCATACCATGTTTACGGCCATAAGGAAGCTTGCCCACCTCGAGCATCTGGGCAATTTCATTTCCAGACTCCGAAGCTCGCTGAAATTGAGCATCAATTTCTCTGACCACTTCGAAAACATCCCGAAAACCACCTCGGCCCTTAAACCCAGACCCGCCACCCCCTTTGGACCTCTCCTCATCGTCGACGACCTTCTTGTCGACCACGTGAACGTCAAACTCCACCCCACGTTCGCCCTCCTTCGAAACGCTCGGCCTTGTCTGGTAAAGCGATACGTCCGGTTCGTCAACAACCTTGTCGTCAACATCGGCCTTCGAATGCTTCCCGCCGTCTCCGGCGAACTTCTGATCTCCGTGAACCTCCTTGACAACCTCGTGCAGGTAGTCCTCATCTTCCAAGTCCGGAATCCCCTCCTCTTCCCTCACCTCCCTCGAATCCCGACTCGGCGTGTACTGCGAAAAATACTTATCCTCGGTCTCGAACGGGTTCAAAAACTCCCACGCCGAAGCCCTCGGCGGCGAAGGAGGTGGTGGCGGTGGCTTTGAAGAAGACGCCGCCGGTGCCGGCGCCGGCGACATAGCCCCATAGTTAAGCGGCGGTGAACCACCGTAGTAGCCGCCAATTCCAGCGCCGTAATTGGGATATCCGTCGTGCGGATAAGGATTAGTATTGGCGTTCATATAATTGTTATAGGGATAATAAGAAGCGGAAGAAGACGATTCACCCATGTGATAAACCGTCTCGGGACTGAGTGGCCTCTGCTCATATACCACAGACGGCGTCGCTTTGTTCTTCATGTAATTCATGTGCATATATCCGCCGCCGTACGGACCTAGTGGGCCTTGATCCGTCTCCATGTAATGACCGCCGGAACCGTGCAGCGGCGAGGGGTGATCGAGGTCGTGGTCGTCGTCGGAGTGGTGAAGCGAACCGGAATCGTCGGAATCGGAATCGGAGTGGAATTGGAGGTGCGTATCGGAATTGGAGTGAGAGTGCGCCGATTTCAACGCTTGGACGGCGTGATTACCATCGGGATCGCCTTTCTTCTGAGGAGGGAGATTGAGCTTCACCGGAGGAGGCGAACCGGGGGAAGAAGAGTAATGATGATTGCTATTAGCCAATTCATGCTCGACGAATTTGTGCAGAGAGTTACCGATTCCTTTGAGCGAGTGAACGTAAGCGAAGTGAGCCTCGGCGAGAGCGTAGCGCTGGTGCATCGCCTCGTCGAGGGAGGCGCAGCGCTCGCGGCAGAGCGCCACCGCCGGCAGATCGTCGAGCTTTGAGGTGGTGCAGCCCATGTCAGCCTCTCTCTCTCTCAGCTCTCAGCTGAAGAGAAACCACGAGCTCGAAAACACCGCTTTTTGTTACTACTATGGCGGAAATTAGGGGTGAAAGAGAAGTTATTGGTGGTAAATCACGAGTGTAATCGGCGTCATGATGGTGATGGCGATAGTCGGCAGCGTTTGTTTCTCGGGAAAATTTTTTAGGGTTAGGAAAGAGGGAGAAAGATAAAGGAAAAAGAGAAAAAGAAAAAGAAAAGAGAGAAGGAAGAGGGAATCTTTGCCAGCGCGGAGTTTGTCGTCGGGTTGTAGCAGAGAGACGCAGAAACAAAAAATTAAGAGAGAGAAACAGAAAGGAACAGTATGGGTGAAGACTGAAGAGAGAGAGAGAGAGAGAGAGAGAGATAGAGATAGAGAGAGAGAATTGTATACGTCGGTGTAATGTAAAAAATAAAATAATAATTGGCTTATTTTGGGTGTACTTTTTGGATTTTTTTTCTTTTTTGTGTTTTCATAATATTCTTCTCAACTTGGAATAAAAATTAAAACTTTTTTTTTTTTTAAATTTTTGGTGGGGGGTTAAAATAACAAACTAGAGGGGTCTGATTCTGATGGTTTGGTTAGTTAGAGCACAATCACAGTGGAGCAGAGTTAGAGGGGTTACAGTTTGATCATTGAAGTGGGGAAGCCTAAAAATTTTCCTGTTTTTTATTTTATGTTATTTTAGTTTTTTATTGTTACGTAGGTGTTAGACTTTGGATTGAATTCTTGGGAGAGAAACTTCTGGGGTGTTTGGTTTGACGGAAAGTTTGACGCCTGTTGCCGCCACATCATTTTCGCAGTCTAACCGCTTGTTGAATTTCCACAAATACCCTTGTCTGATTGACTAGCTTTTTGATCAAGCTCTGCTCTCTTTGATTCACGTGTGTTCAAGTAAATAATTATGATTTATTAACGAGAATTTTAGGAGAGAATTATTAATGGGAAAGTTTTTAATTTAAATTTTTTATGAGAAAAAAATATTATATCAAAATTAGAATTATAAGTTTAAATGTATTTATCAAATGGCCTCAAAAATTTTGAACAATCTGAAATAATGCTAAAATTTTGAACGGTCCGCACGTGACGGTCTAAAAAAATTGAACTTGTGCTCAATATTCGAACCCGCTCACCGGAGCCTGAGATTTGCCTTGGATGGGCCGCGGGCCTTGTTCATGACAAAACTGTTTGTCAAAATATAGTTGGATTTTGTTTGGACTTTGAACAGACTTTATGCATGGGAAACGAATGACCAATTCTTCTTCTGCAATCTGCATTTGTCATTTGTAATTGGTTTTCCTTTTTTTCCATTTAATTTTCTGCCACTAGCAGACAATTCTTTACCATGCATTTCTTCTTTTCTTTTGGCCATATACAGATGCAAATTTCTTCCTTGATGAGGCAAGTATAGACATAAAAAGCCTAGAAAAGATGTAATAGGATGATTAAAACGTATAACAAATATTTCATTTGGGGAGCTTCCGCAGAATTTATCTGAATTTCCTAAGAAATTGAAAAGGAAAGAGAGGAAAAGGGGTGAAATAGTTTTTGAAGGGCTTTTATTTATTTATTTAAAGGAAGGTTTAAAAGAATACTGGGACCGTATGAAAGGAATTTCAACTCTTTACTTGGTTATAAAATTAACTAAATCATATAAATTTAAATTGCCTGCAGCAATAGCAGCCATTTGTATTTAAAATTTATGTGTGTGCAGGAAGATATATTATGATATTATTTAGTATTATTTTATAATTATTATGGCTGTGGAATATTATATGATAAAATGTGAAATTAATTGCATTCTGTCCAATTATGGCATGCTGACATGTTAGCATAACTGTCGTCAATAATGACGATTATAGTCCCTTTTTTTTAACAGTGATATTTGCATTGAATGAAAACGTGCAACTTAAACTTAAAGAAAATTTGAGACACCATGTAGAGGAGCATTCTTATCCATAATTTTATGTTCCGTTCATTTTATTAATTTGAGTTTAAAATTTGAGTTAAAATATAATTTTATGTGAGAATTTTTTATTGTAGTAAAAAAATTAGATGTGATTATTTGTGAGAACATTTTACTGTAAAAAAACTTAAATTTTAAACTCAAATTAGCGAAATAAACGGGACCTTAATGCATCCATTACTAAAATTCCATCTACAAACTCTTTAAATGCTGAGTTATGGTGAGCTCGTACGACCCTACAGATAGATTTGTGTCGTTGTTTTTTTTTTTTTTTTTTTTGGCACGTCTAAAGACTAAAGCCGAACAACATATTAGTTGGGTAGAAATGTAAAAATGGAACTATAGAGTATTAAACTTTGAACACACACTGAAAAATAAAAAATAAAAAGGAAAGAAAAACATACTTAACGGCTGCACAAATAAAGGACTTGTTCTTTTTTCACCTAAACTCAAAAAAAATTTAAATTTAAGTTATAATTTTATTCAAGTTTATGTTATTTTGTAAAATTTGAGTTTTAATTTGAGTTTGAAACTAAAATCTGAGTTCAAATTTTCCCTTCAACTTAAGTTCTTAAACTCAAACTCAAGTTAACGAATAATATTTTTTCTATTCTTAAAAACGCAATAACTTTTTCGTTTTATTTTTAATTGAGATAATTTTTTTTTCTATGCATTCACAATGAAGAGACGAATAAAACGTCACCCATATATCCTATTAAAATTTTTTATCACCATTGAGTTTTTATTAAAATACTATATAACTATAAATTTAAGTTTTGACCCACCCAAACACAAATTTTAAAAAATTATCATCTCAAACCATAATTTAAATGTACACAATTAAATAAAAACTCAAATTATAACTCAAATTCAATTTAAGAGCTACACTCAAATAATCATAATTCAAACATGTAAATGAAGAAGCATAATTTGTTTGATTGTAGGAACTCGTTACCGTTTACTTATCCCCGTACATTACTGTTCTTTTCTTTTACCCCCCCCCCCCCCCCCCCCCCACAAGAATTACTGTACTGTATTCTCACTTTCAAATCTCCGTGGTACCTACTAACATAGAAAATTACAGTTGTTGCAGCAAAAAGAAAGCAGCAAAGAATTTTTACAGGCTTCAGTTGTGCCAAATTGCAAGGTAAACAAGCAATATTGGTGTGTCTAATCAAATCAAAGGGGTTTTTGTTTCACAGCAAAGAAGCCTACATAAGACTAGACCATTCTGAGTCAAAAGAGGACAATTCCCATGGGCACGGCACCACAACCCCCCAAAAAAGTCTAAACCAATGTTTTGAACAAATTATGGTCCTCACACGGGGCATTTTTGACAAATCAGTTTTATATAACAAGATTCATACGTATTTTTTTTAACATATACATATTTTTATAATGTGTCCACTCTTTAGGGTCTAGAGTACTCGTGGAATTGAGATGCGTGAACTGTTCATATATATATATAGACTTCAAAAGTCGCAATCAGACACTGACCACTTTCCTAGGTTTAGCAAAGGAAAATGTAAATTATGGTAACTGATCAACTGGGGTCATTAGTTTTTCTGCACCAAACTGTTTTGGCGTCTCCCTGTTTACAAGAAGAGTCTTGGACGCATTGTTTTGGAAGAAGCTATGATACTCCCATCATCATAAGAAATAATTTGTCATAATTTTTTTAAAATGTCAACTGATTCATATACTTTTTTTATTCTTCAAAAAGCTTAATATTTTTTTCAACTGTTTATATTTTTTTTATGATACAATAATATTGAAATTTGAGTGTATAATGAATTTTGAGACGTCGTAAATAATAATAATAAATTTTGGAGATATACCCTAATTTTTAGGTATATTGTTTTTCATAGGTGGCTTCACCATGAAGAACCTGGACCCCTTCCCTCACTCCATGTATTTCCTCAAGAGTCAAGTCAATGCTTGTGGTCTAGAAGTTGATTAATATAAATTTAAAATTGCTAAATTGCATAGATAATCACGGTTGCTTTTTCAACCAATCAGGGATTTTCTTTTTGATAGAAGGCTAGACTAGACTAACAGAACCATAAACGTTTTTTTTTTTTTTTTTTTTTTTTTTTTTTTTATTTTTGGGGGTGTATTTTTTTTTTTTTTTTTTTTTTTTTTTTAACTCTGGGGTTGGAATTCTAACTCCTCATCTTGTAGGATCAGGTGTAAAGTTATCGCTCTATATCTGCAATCACGGAAAAACATGTAATTAGTTAAACACAAATGATTATAAGTTTAACAGTGATAAATAATGAAATTATATAATAATATAATCTGATTAATTAATGAAAAATATACAAAAAAAAATATAACTTTCTCAGCTATAACACTGCAGTCACCACCAATGTGATCTAACTACTTCCAGGAGCACATAATTTTTTTTCATAAACATTAAACATTTGACATTGGGTGGTCACGAAATTATAACCAATCAATTATTTTTAAGCACTCACCATAAAAAAATTAATGAATACAACATTTTTCGTATTTAATTCTTCCAAAAAAAATATTAACCAATATTTTCTCTCTCGCTCTGAATTATCCTCCTTAAAATTATTTGTTAGCGAAAATCTAGGTGACAGGAATATACCATTCTTGTTTTTTTTTTTTTTAAAAGAACTTTTCCTTTGTTTTTTTCTTGCTTTTAACAACAAAGCTGCAGCATGGGATTAATGGGAAAATATTCCTAAACAAACTCTGGACCAGAAGACAACATGAATATGAGGGAAGAGATAATAATAAGAGATTAATACCTTGAGGCTTTCTGGCCTCTCTATCAGTAAGCTTAATTTTTAACGGATTAAATTAAAATATATATTAAATATATAATTTCTGATACAGATTTAATAATTAAAAATAAAATATTATTGATAATACATTTTTCTTGATGTTTCCCTGATAAGAGAAACCAACTCTAAAACCTTTTTCTCCGAAAGCGCTATTTGGTTTTGGAATATAAATTCCAACCCACAATGCACGTGGAAGGGGTTAGTCCGAGGAGAAAAAGCTTGAGATTGACTTCCAACTGGCCGTGCACAATAGTTCCTATTTTTGGAATGTTATGTCACTATGCGTGTATAAAATGTATTTTAATAAAGCGTTTCTAATACAACATTATAATATTATCACTAAAAGTGATCTTATTATTTTATTAAGTTAACAAATATTTAGAAAGACAGACCAAAAAAATTATACTGCGAGACCCATGTGGCAATTCTTTTGGTCTAGTGATCATCTGTCCTCCCCGCTTTACTAAATCCAATTTTAAAATAATTTTGATCTTAGCATAAATATAATATAAGATATGATCATGAGCTATACAGTGGCTTTGGGTAGCATTTCACCAGTTCAATCATATATTTATTATTTATTTATTTAAATTACTTTACGAGGCTGTT